AAAAATTTTACGATTAAGCCCCAAAACAATATTTTCCTCAAATAAGTCCCCAATTTAATGCTAAAATACCCCAAAATTTTGGGATATTACATCCACCCCTCCTAAAAAGGAGTTTTGTCCCCAAAACTCAAATCTAGGATTGCCTAGACTGGTGAATGGCTTCACACAATCTAAGACAAAACAATGCCTCACCGACTTTCTATGATCAGAACATGGCCTACTACGCTTTCGCTGTGCCACTCCGATATCAAACACAACAAGAACAAGGAAATCAGTCTCACAATACACGGCTAACAATTACGAAGGTATGATAGTGAAATTCACTTTACCGGGACTCGGTACTCATCACTACCCTAACAAGCCAACAACAATCTCAATCTCCACCTTCCCCAATGGTCATTTGGGAAGCGGGAGATAACTTCACGCCTCAACACAAGTAACTAAACTCGAGAGTTATCGATGTGATTATGTGGTGCCCTTGACTTAAATCAAGACCCGGCACTCATCAAACACAACCACATGGCAAGGAATCTAATGATGAGTCCAACTAAAAGATGGAACTCCATTCGAGACGGATAAGCATCACTCGGATACCCAAAATCATGAACGGATGAATGCATGCATATGCATGTATGAATGAATGCCTTTATGCATGCATGTATGAATGCCCATGTGTGCATGCATGTATGCATGTATATGCTCATGTACATCTATGTTCGCATTCACGTATGAATGCCCAGATGAATACTCAAACAAACAGACCTAATATGGAAGGCCTTATACATCCTACCACAACCAAAATCAAGCATACTATCACAAAGGACCAAGTTTCAAACAAGGTCCAAAGAGCATAGTGAGCAAGATTAATTTCAAAAACGCTCACCAACGGCAAATAACAAGAACTAACTGAATTACTACCTCATCAAAGCAAACCAGAAAATTCAGGCAACACAAATCAGAATCGTCCCTTGTATAACCCCATCACTTGTCTCACCACGATTCTAAATCCCTTCACTAGCCAAGTTCAAAACATATCCTAGGTATTCACTTAAACTTAGGCTCTCACATCACAAAATCTTAATCAACCTAAGCTCTGATACCACTAAATCTGTCACGCCCCAGAACCCAAATCCGAGACGCGACAGACGCCGTGCACTCGTGAGACGGGTCCCACAAATGCACAAGGCTCG